CCAGCTTGTATTAATTTGTAAGAACTCACATTTGGGGTTATTCAAATGTCGTAAACTTTCACTGGAAAACTTTTACCTAATCGGCTTTAATTTCGGGGCCCTCTTTTGGTGGGCCACCAGGCCACTCGATGAGACAATGCCCATACTTTACACGTTATTCGTCTAATTTAATCAAATTAAGGCATTGTCAATAGCCGCATTCATTTTTCATTAATGAATTGGATCCATATAGAAGATGGAAGATGAAAGCCCTTCGATATGAATTCTCTCCACTAAAAACGGTAGCGTTGATAAATCTAATTTATCCCAGGGAGAAAGCCAGAATCCCCACACGTGTTCCATGCTTAGAAAAGAAATTCCAATCCAAAGTGGTCGTGTCAAATCCCATCAGCTTGAATAGATCTCATCCCGAAGATACTGCACAGTTTCCATTATGATTTGCCAATATCCGGAGATATTGCAATATTTCCCATCGTGATTTGCCATATGCAGGAAAATGGATTTTAGTGGGCGTTGCGTTTTTGGGTAAACAACCCCTACTTCTCCGGGAAAAATAACTCCTGTCAACGCGATTGTAATTTATTCTTTTGCGCATTTGGTATTATCGGAAATTGGCCAATAAGGTTTTCGGTTGCAGGATATCCTTTCCCACCCGAATCGCAAAAAAATGCATTTCAATTGCCCAAATAAGAGACACACAAAAGGGAAGAGAGAGGGTGCGAGGTTTAGCCAACTGTGAATTGAATTTGGCACTCTGTGGATGGGTGCTAATTTAAGATGCGAATACCGGAATAGATACGGATTGCAATTTCTCCAGTCGAGCATGAAATGCCGCAGATTTAGGGTGAGAAACGGGCCTTCTGCTTTCCCATCGCGCGCATAAGTAGCTGGATTTTTCCCATCAAAAAAGCAATCACCTGCAAATGCTAAATAGATCGGCTTATCGTACCGCCCACGGTTTGATTTATCGCCGTTTATCTGGCCAAGAAGTGCAGGCAGCAGGCAGCAGGCGGCACATACTCATGGCAAAGATTTATTGCCCGGCCAAACGACAACTCAATAAAGTGCCACTAATTGGGCTTTAATAGACAGCGACTGTTAACTCTTCATTGTCATTTGGAACTGGGGAAATAGCTACACAATATGTAGGAAATCGAGTGGAGCCTCGATTGATTGATATGCTCGCCTCCAATTCAAATCAAATTGTCAAAATATGCTGCCCACGATCGTAAATTAGAAGAGCCACAAAAGACGACAAAAGACGGCGACGCACAGTAGTGGAATCGGTATGGGGGATGGGGTCCAAACAAAGCGGATAATGCCTTGGGTTGAGATATATTCCCAGAGATATTTTTTACGGCCATTGATGACCGGCATACAATATTATGTTAAATAACCACAAAAGTGATCGTAAATTTTCATAAAATGTCACGCCAAAACGTCACACTTTTTTGTAAGCATAATTAAAAATATAATAAAAGGCAATTCCATACATTTATGCATGGATTTCTTTAAAATATCTGACTATATCATTTTTTTGTTGTCAACTTTAAGTTTTTTTGAGGGCCTGCACATAAATTTCGACATTACCTATACTGTCGTCTGCTTGAAAATTAAGGCCTCATTTGCATACCTCGAGCGCCTGCCCCTTAAGCGGTTATCAAAAAATCCCAGCGATCCATCGATGGCAAGGAAAAGAACCAATCCCAACATAACTCAAACCAGCACCTTCCGAAACTCCGTTTTGACAGGCATATTTTTTGACATTTTAATTATTGTCAGAGCGTGACATCCATTGGAGTCGATTTTATTATTGTGGTTTTGGGGGACCTCTCTCCCCAAACTCTCGACGCCCGACTACGTGCTTAATATGTGGGTAATTTAAAGCAGCTCAGAAGCGTGCCAGGAATTTGGATACATTAACTTTTGGAGTTCGAACTTTGGGTTTCCCTTTTTTGGTTCAATGAACTGCGCTCGACGCCTGATTGAACTTCCACTCGGCCGCTGATCGATCAATAAAAGATCATTTGATTATCAATATGCACTTATTTCACACCTCAAGCCGTTTCATAATGTTATTGTTGTGCCTGCAATAACCACCTAATAATGAGCTGAGCAAATCAATTAGATTTCTATGACTATTACTGGCGAAAAATGAATCTGATGGGTGAAGGCGTAAATGTGCTATTTTCTTTCAAGTTATTGTTTGAGTGGAAATACAATGTATTATATTTAAACAATATTATAGCACTTAAGTTAATGATACTCAAATGTAATATTATAATGAAAGAAAGCTACATTTAAACTAGAAAACCTAAACTAATAATCGAACCAAATCGATAAAAATAATAATATTAAAAAACAGCAATTTATTTTAAATTTAAGAAGTCTAATTTTACTTAATTCAATTGTAAAATCTACGGAACTAACACGGTTAAATTTAAGTATTGAGATATGCCGAAACACCTTTTTTCATGACCACACCCATGAAGAATTTTAATGAAATAAATGTTTTTACAATGTACAATTGTTCAAGAAACATTTAAAAATGTTTTCAAGAACATAAAAAAAGAAAAAAAGTAACTGCTTGCGTAAGCATAGGCCCCGGCGAGATTCGAACTCACGATCTCCTGTTTACTAGACAGGCGCTTTAACCAACTAAGCCACGGCGCCACATGTCGTGTCTGTGGCCAGATTTCAGCCACAAGCAGAGAGAGCGACCATCCCTCTCGCGCTCTCACCGTTTGTTGTTGTTCTCACTGAGCTAAATTTAGCACACTGTGGGAAAGAGACAGGTATACGTATATACGGACACAGAAAACTTTCCCACAAGAACAAACAAATATAAATTATTCTTTTTAACAATTTAATACGCTAAAAGTTGTGGCTGTCCGAATGCACACATGCGAAGACATACATATTAACGCAGAGATAAAAAAAAGAAAAATTACTTTTGTTAACTCGAGCAAAACAAATCGTTTTTTAAATGAGCCTCGGAGAAAAAAAAGTCACACCACGACAAACACGACGCAAGTGAAATGCAACACCACATGGCATTCGAAGTGAAAGGCTGTCACTGGGTCTCCAGCCCCCTCCTCCACTTTAACCCCACCCACTGCCCCTTCGGACGACCTCTTCGATTTTAACAAATGAACTGACGCGCTTAGCATGTCATTTGCTTAGTTTGTATATTTTTTAGGACTGACAGAGAGTTGGAAAAGCGGAAAATCCACTAAAATATACTTAGAGGCAATTACGAAAGTCTCCAGAAAAATGGAACCATTACTTATGCACTGTCAAAATATATTTAAGGGTCTTGGGATTATAATGGATCCATAATGGAAATGGTGTTCTTAGTATAGTCATAATATTATTTTTTTACACTATATTAAATTATATTATATCATATTACATTATATTATATTATATAATATAATATTATATTATATTATATTATATTATATTATGTTGTATTATATTGTATTATATTATATTATATTATATTATATTATATTATATTATATTATATTATATTATATTATATTATATTATATTATATTATACTATATTATATTATATTATCATAGTACTTTTAATAATGATAAAGTAAAAGTATTGAAATGCCATATCTTAAACTATTTTTCCATGAGGCTGTGGGAAATTTCTGTGGGAGGAAAAAGTAAATCTATTGGGAAAACGGGAATGGGACCGGGAAAGGGAAGGTATCGGGTAAGCAATGCCATTACAGCCTCTTTCTTTTTTTTTGTTTCAATTACACTATTTATGCGTTTTTCCTTTTCGCTGAAACTTTACAATTTCCGTATTTGAAAGGGGGATGGGCGATTGATGATGCCCTGTAAATAAAAACGCATGCCTTCGAAATAGTTCGGCCGTTTATAGCCGAAGTTGCAACCGAAGTTGCAGTTGCAATAAAAGTTGCATATACGGGATAAGCATGTGGGCCATAAATTGCCCACCTATTGACGGCAATATTTTATGATATTTTTGGGCGTACGTTTATACATCTGCCGGCATAGTTTCAGTGAGATGAGATAATTACTCAAGTATTGGCTGGGCATTAAATCAACAGCATACCGGAATTTCCATATGCCTCTTTTTTAGTGTCAAGGATCTCAGCTGCCATTAAAGGGTACGTAAATAATGGATAGTTAAAGATTTAATTACTTGTACTCATACCATATCGTCGGGGAATCATCTTGCTTCCACTCAAGTGGCCACTCCATAATCTCTAATAATAATTTTTATTAGGAACAAGCATTTCCTTGCCGCAGCAGCTGGCTAAGATTTCAATTTCCAATTGCTCCCGTAACAAGCTGCGTATTTATAAATTGATGTTTATTATGCACAAAGTGCATAAAGTTCATTGAACGAGTGCGTAGCCGTTGCCTCAAAGTGCTGACACACTTTGGCCAGGCAACTGCCAACTGACAAAGCGGCTGGCAGCGGTATCTTATAGGTATTTTCATATCCAATCCCCTCCACCGGATTCCGGATTCCCGACCACACAAGTGGTTTGACCTTAAACGATGCTGAACTTGAATTTGGTGTGGCTGCGCGTCTTTTATGTTCATTTCTCAAGTGCAAGGCGGCAATTTCAATTAACCCGCCGCGGTACTCGCCATAAATAATATCCCCCATAATCTCACTTAAGGCATCTTCGATTCGGAACAGTTGACAAATTTGCCCGCCAATGGAATCTATGATTTAGTGGGTTACCAGCTGGATATGCTTACTTTATTATATTTTTCTGTACATATGTTTATTGCTTAACCCATGGCCAACTCACTCTTCTGGGCTGACGGCTCTCCAGGTGTCGGATATGTAATTAACCACTTTCTGGTCGGGCCTTTTGGGTTCTCGCCGGTTTCTTGACATCCTGACACCTGGGCCCAGATTGTGGGTCAGGCCATAATCAGGTCTGCTCCTCTGGCACTCGTGATTGATAATTAATTAATGTGCTTTCTCCGATTCATTTGCAGCGATCCTCCAGCGCTCCACGGTGGATGTGGGACGCATCAAGCTTCAAAGTGTGGCCACCTGCCTGTATCTGTGCATGGACGCGTGTGGTGTTCCCTACGGCTCGGTAAGTAAGCTTTACATGTTACAGATTATTAAAATATTAAATATATAATAAAGAAAGCATAAATAGATTAAAATATACAATCATAGGTCATCAAAACCAAACATTTTTTATAGGGATAGGAATTCTAGATCTTCATTATCATCGAGGTACCATTACTTTTTTGTTTGCTAAATTAGAAATCCCTAGAAAAAATCTTAAACATTGGTATAGCCAGGAGTTCAACAACTTTTAATCTTAAAACATTATACAAAAATGTTATAATGCTTATCCAAATAGTGAAGATATATTACAAAATTAGTCATCCTTATTTTTCGTATTCCCTGAACCGCGAAATCGGTTTTTTTATAGCAATTTGCCGCTCTCAGATAACTAAATTTGGTATATGGAGCGGTCCATATCTAGTCCATTGTTGGCACCCCTCTAACGAAAACAAAAACAAACAAAGGCCTGTTAAAAGATTGAGGTAAACCGAAAAACCCAAAAAGGGATCCTCAAATAAATGAAAGAGCGGCCGAAGGGCTTGGGTAATAAATAAAAAAATTAAATGTGAACAAAAACAAAGCAACACGATCAGCAGCAACAAAGCGAGTCCTTTACAGAATCGAGTCCCTTTTGCCCCGGAGTGTGTCCTTATGCCGTCAAGTGGCAACTGATGTTGGTTGTGTTAGGTTGGGTTGGGATATCCTTGGGTTCCGTAACCTTCCCCTTCCTCCTGAATTCAAGGCGACACTTTATCCCGCTGCGTTTCGAGATTCGAGATCGTAGGATGCCTTTTTTGGGCTGGCGCCATGTGACCACTTACGCTGCGCTTTGCTGGTCCGTTGGACATTAGGTTTTCAGTTTTTTTTCTTGTTTTAATTTATTTCATTTCATTTCTTTCCGCCGTCGCAGGCACTTTGACCTTTCCGCATCCAAAATAGCAGCGAGTGTGCCAATTCTGTCAGCCGAGGCGTGCCCGCGTCCACATTGGCTTTTTGTATCTCGCGGATGCGAAGATACAGAGATACTTGCTGATTGATGCGCTTCACCAGCGGCCACTTTGTAGGCGGCCCTTTGAAGGCGCCGCATGCCTATAACATAGCCAAGATATCTCTATGTCTATAAGTTGGTCAAGTGGGCGGTTATATTGGGCCGTCTTCGCCTTGTTTATTTTGGCGACCAAGGCGTCCGTTGCTCACAGCACGAGATCTGTGGAAAATGGCTGCGTTCTAAACTTACCCGCTAGTTACGGTCCCTGATTTACTGGCACTTTTAATACTTTCCGTCGGTGCTATTCATAGCACCGTTTACCTTGTGACTGATTTTCTGACATTTCACCATAATATTTCATATACATTCTGTGTTGCCTTGTGACCAACGAGGCAGGTGACTTCGGGCTCTGGCTAATTGAGCAGGGGTACCAAAAGCAAAACCCCAGAATGCTTGCCAATTCATAAATTCACAGGCCCAAAACCCCAAAATACCTCGTGTTGAGTCAGCGTCTCGACCAATTAAAATGTCGTAGCCATAAATGTTCATATTAAGGTTTTGCTTATTAATTTGCATAATTTGTTCCCCGGCGAGGAATGGACCGCCCGCAGAGTCCATGAACTTGGGATTGCCTTTGGTTTTGGGTTTGGGTTTGGTCAATTAATGCCTAGCGGTTCGAAAATGGATATGTTGCATCATTATCATGGTTATTGTCCTGTTCAGGGGCGATAAGTGGCGGCCGGAACGCGTCACGCAGGTTTTTGGATGCAGTTTGTGTGCCCTCCTAAGTGGTTCCGTTTCTAGATGATCCCCGTAATCTGGCCAACAACAGGTTGGTCGACCCTTTCTCCACTTGCCTGGCCTGGCGCCACTCGATAAGCTCCGATAGAGGGACCACGCAGAGCTAATGGTTCTGGGTATCTCACGGCCCTTCTTTTCCCAATGTGTGTTCTCCCTTATCCAAGTACAACTTCATTTCCCTTTGGTGTCTGCCAATTTTCACTTGCAAGCCATTAAAGACTAAAAATAGAGGAAAATGCCTGGAAATGCTCGGCTATCATAAAAGAGTTCTTAGAGCGGGGGGCTGCAAGTCACATTGTTGTCACATATGTATGACTCGACCCCAAATGGCGTCAACATACTCCTGGCCTGGCCCTCACCCATTTGATGGCTCATTGCTGTTCGCCTTTCGCCTGATTAATTTCTAAATTTAAGCGGCGACATTTTCCCGGGTAAACAATCGGGCAGGGAATTGCCTTTGCCTGGCTGGCTGGCGATTTATTTACGAAACAATTTTAATTGCCTGACAAGCGAATTAATTCAGTGTTTGTTAATTGAATTTGATCTGCAGATGTCTGCCAGTCGGCGCAACAAGAGAAAAGGCCGGCAAGGTGGGGCCCATGAAAATCCTTTCCTCGATTTACATTTTTTACCTAGCATAGGCTAGCCCACAATTTCTCATTCTCAGCCGGGTAATTCTGTTTGGTCCTTTTGTTCGGCTGTCATGAGGTGTTCATAAAGAAGAAATGTTTATGGTTAGTATGTCGCCCGAGGTCGGGGGCCTCCTATCGATGATGGCCAACACCGATAGGAGCACATCCTGTGATAATGAGCGCATTTATCCATCTGATTTCTGTGCTGATAGACAAAAGAAAGAGACGCCGCCCCTGGATGGCAGATTCAAAGAAGTTTGATTTCCTTGGGAAAGGGTGTTCATTATGGGAATGCGTTTCTGAAGAAGTTGGTTACTGCAAGAACCCTTTGAAGTGGTCCAAGAGGTTTTTTCCAAAGTGAACTTAAGGGTTTTGTAAACTAACTGAACATGGCTACCGGTAGAAAACCTTATAGGCGCTTGTAGTTTTGTATCTAATTGTATTTCTGGATGTATTCAAATGCTCTTTTTTTATACCGAGGTCCGATTTCTCAATTTCCTGTTAAATATTGTCATTAAATTAATCTGCTTATTTAAAATAAGTGCTTAATCTGACTTAAAACTCTTAAATAGAGACAATGTACTGGTTAAATTTGTCGGTCGGTCAGGTCTGTCAGTGCGAATTTAACAATACATCTTCTGATAACCGACTCTGTAAAGATTTGTCGTTCTAAAAGTTAACAACGCATTGAGAAAACTTATTTAACCTGCCGAATAATTTAAGTTCGTGGTAACTTTATCTAACAGATAATGAACATTAACCTTAACTTGACATTGAGAAATCGGCGCAAACAGTATTTAATTTTTATGTTATTAAGTTAAGTCAACAGCTAGGTTAGCTCACTTATAACAAGATACAAATAATACAATATTTTCCAAAGTTAAACTAGAGGTTAATCAATATCTGCGATATTCAGCAATCTCCAACTAACCCTTCCCGTCGCCATTTGCTTAGCCAAATCATTTAATCATAGCCCTTGATTGTTGCAGAAAGACTTCACCGACGACTGCGTCTTCAACGAGAACATGGGCCTGCAGAACTACAACACGTACTCCTCCACGTACCACTCGCAGGCGCGGCGGGTCTTCTACTTGGCCCTGAACGGCAGTGGCCAGCCGAGACGCACCCAGATCCCGGCCAGCCGATCGCTGGGCAAGCTGAGCACCTACACCAATGCCATCACGGAGACGGTGCCGCAGGATCGGGTCGAGCAGCTGATCGCCAAGACTTTTGGGGCCAATCGCGTCAAGCACGGCGTGCGGCAACTCTGTGATACGGGCAAGCCGCTGATCGAGCTGATCGATGTGGCCAAGTTTAGGGGGCCGCCACATTGCAGCAGCAACACAAGTGGCAGTAGTACTAGTAAAAGTAGTAGCACTAGCAGTAGCAGTAGCAGTAGCAGTTACGTTCCTGTGCCTGCGATCGGCAGCCTGAGTAGTATTAGTAACAGTAGTCAAAGCGAGAGCGGCCATATTAGCAGTAGCCTTAGCAGTAGCAGTAATACCAGTAGTAGCAGTACCAGTAGCAGTAGCAATAGTAGTAGCCCCGGTGGCAAGAAGCCCAATAGAAAGAAGAAGCCCCGTTGCAAGCCGCACGAGCAGGAGGACACCCACAATTGCCAAAAGCGTGGAGGAGCGGGATCGGGAGCGGGGGCCCTGAGAAAACTGGGTCCCAAGGCGCAGAGGTGCAAGGAGTTGCGCGAAAAGGCGGCCGCTGAGAAGAGAGCCCCACCCAATTGTGGCAAGAAGAATGGGGCCAGGAGGAACCCTCCAGATTTGGCCAAGGCGGTGCAGCAGCGGGCCAAGGCCAGTATCCAGCAGCAGCAGGGTGGCAAGAGGAAGCCCAACAAAACGGGAAAGCAGCGGCAGAATGGAGGCAAGAAGCAACAACAGCAGCAGCAGCAGCAGCCAGCACATCAGGTCAAGGCTGTTTCCGGTGGCAAGCGGAAGCACCGGAAGTTGGATACGAGCACCACCACCACCACCACCATGGCCACCAGCCTGGCCACGCCCCCCGCAAGCCACTGGGAGAGCAGCTCGCCCATTCCCGCCTTCTCCCTCAGTGAAACCAGCGATCGGGTGGAGCGCAATGTGCGCATGAGCAGCGGCGAGGATCAGGATCAGGATCCGAATCAGAATCAGGAGCAGGCTGATCCGGAGGAGGAGGCCGAGGGCGACGGGGTGTCCCTGGAGGATGCCAGCTATGAGGACTCCAGCTCCGAGGCCCAGGGACGCAGCGGTGCAGCCGGCGACGATTCGCTCTACTACGATTTGTGAGTTTCCCATAAGCAACTTCTTAGCTAACCCTTCATCTATCTCTCACAAAACAAACAATAATTAAGTATAGATTTTCCAAATTTGATTACAATTTTCTAAATTTATACAAATAACTTGTTTTTTATTGGCAATAACTTATTTAATACATTATATGGATTGGAACTTTAATATTTCTAAATTTATCTAAAATTATTAGATACTTTCCTTTTGGCATTAACATTGATTGGAATTTTTCATAGCCTTAAAAGTATTTTCCAAATTTATTTCACACATTTTGTACTTTTTGGTTAATTTGTATTGGTTGTTGTGCTTTTTATTTTATTATTATTATACTTTTCAAAATTTAAACTATTTATTTGGGCCTAACTTTGAAATCAAAACGTTCAAAATGTGGAAAATTCAGTTAATATCAGTATGAGGCTGTTGAAAAAATGAGAAAAGAGAAGGGAGGACCTAGAAATGATGTATAAAGTCTGGCTTGAGTATGCAAGAGATATTGTAATTGCAAGTTTGCACAACACATCCACACACGATCAGACACCAACAGACACCCACCCTATACACAGCACATCCAGCACCAGATCAACACCACATATATCATCCGCCAGTGTGTAAATATTTGATATATCATACATACGACCGTGGTTCACTAAAGTATTTTTGATACAGCGGACTGTTGTCCCCCCGGCGATGATCCGTGATCCAGGTCAATGCCAGCCCCACACTAAAGACGATGAATATCAATGTATTACGACGGAGTCTCGAGTATTTTATAAGAACCTCTCAGCCAGCCATTTGGAGTATAACCCCCATCGAAATGTATGATAAACGCACGCCCATCCAATCAGATAGATGTAAAATCAAAGCCATAACCTTACGCAACACGAATGACCCAAAGAGTCTATTGAAATACTTGAGTCTCTGTGGCGGAACTTTCACGTTCGGTTGACGATGAAAATACTCAAAAATACGACCACACCGATAAGTCTACCAGAAACAAAACAAGAAAAATTAAAACTTGCAAAACGCTTTCCCAATATTGTAAACAAGTGAAGCGGCGAAAATTCGAATATGTCGAGGGAATTCAATTGTAAATAGATACGCGGTTAGTCGTAAGATCAATTTTTTGTCTCCGTATTGTCGAACCTCGCTGCCCTCAGTGCGTATATATCTTAAGCTCTGTATATCAATTTTGAATGCAATTTTTACTGAGGTAAATACCCCATGCGAAACAGTAAAGCCAACGACACATCGAAAACTATTATAAATAAAATAAAAATATGGAATGCAAAACTCACAAATCACAAGATTGTATTTAAATTTACAGATACTAATGAAACTAACATGTAATATTAATTTATTCGATCAACGAGAAAAAAGCGTGAAATTATAGTTTGTAGCTTTAATGATGGAGTTATTTATTTATTTGAGAATATTTATTTATAAACTACTATTAAGATGCTTAGGCCCTAGACTAACAAAACTTTGTTATAATTTAATGCATTGAACAATGCATTTCCAGATAAAAGAATAAATGAAAGAAGCATGAGAAAAACGTGAAAAACGTAACAAAAAAAATAAAATTAAAAATACATTTATATAAAATTGCGAATGTGTTTTAGTCGAAATGGTAAGAAAAGTAGTCCAGTATACTGGGTTTTTCTGCATGGAATTACAATTTATTTAGCATTTTGCACGCTGCTCGACTTAAATTGAAAAAGTTTAGGAAATTGTCACATCTACTCATTTAATTTTTTGGCATGGTTTTCTATCCCCTCTATAAGTCCACATCCCGAAACCCCCTCTAAAATGTTCTGTGCCCTTTACAGCCTGTGCCTGCAGCTGATCGCCATGGCTTTGCTCCAGTCACGAATCATCCTGTGAAGGGATCCTATGATCTAACGCCGAAACCCATTGGACCACCGATCCACACAACCAAGCTAAAGTTCCTGATCTTTAAGAATAAGAGTTCTACATATAGAGTACTACAAATAGCATTTAACATTTTCGTATTTATCATTTAAGACTGAAGAAAGAACACAAGCTAAAACTGCTGTAAATAAATTAAAATATGCATAAAGCTAATTCAGCACCTCGTTATCTTTTGATTTATTTTTCGGCCGAACCACTTGGCAATCCATAGCGAGGGGAATATTTCTTTATGCTGATTAAATCCCACTGTCAACATTATGGCACACATTGATAGAGCTGCCAACAGGTGAGCAGATAATGCTGATTGCTCTGGGAGAGCAGGTCGCACCTCCCCGAAAAGCTCTAGCCATATGCTGATATCAGCTGACTACAGTCAAAGACCTTTTTTCTAGATTTCTAGAGGTGCCAGCACGTGCTGAAAACGAATGGATCATGTGGTTGCGTCTAGAACGCGAGAGATCGCAGATCAGAGAGCGGCGACGATTTAAAAATTACAGTCAAACGTCCATAAATCAAAGTTTAACGAGCTACATTTTTTGTGGAATTTGGGTTAAATCGAGTGGTTCAGCTTTAGGGGTCGAAAAGTAAAGCACAGTACATCATATTTTAGTAAATATTTAAGATTAATAAAAAAAGAAAGATAATATGTGTATTTTTAAATTTAAAGTAAAATTAAAATGAAAGTATATCTAATAGTTCCCAAAATAGTTCTTATTGAAAGTGAAGTGGGTTCGAGTTGCATTTGCTCCTCTGTAAATGGATAATAGAACAAAGTGGAGCTAACTACGCTCGGATTACGGCGAGGAGACCCAGACCCTGTACCCCGGTCCGCCTGTCGGATCCGCAAAAACAGTACCCGGTTCAAATCGTTCCGATTTTCATGTGTGAGACAAGTCACGTAGGCCTTGAAATGGCGAAATTGCTGCTCGCGGTCGCTCATTTTCCCGCATTCGCGTTCATCAAACGCTGCTGAATTTTTCGCACGAATAGGCGAAACACGAGGCAGAACCAGCCCCCACAGCAGCCCCCAAAAAAAAAAAGAATGAAGAGTAGCGGAGTATGAAAAGAACACCGCTCGCCCACCCGAAACCGATACGAAAAACTGAAGACACACGCCGGAGGGTACGGAGAATCCAAGAAGCCGCGAACAACCAAGTTCTCTTGGCAACATAGAATTTTACGAAAGGCCCCCCGATCGTAAAGTAGAGCTAACGTAAGCATAAAAGAGCGGGTGACGTCGAAACTTGGTCGCACGCTCACCACGCGCATTTCCGGGGCTTATCAGCTGCTCCGGCGATGATCACCATTATCATATGGCAGCGGCTATGGGCAGCCCCACCGGCTATTGCCTGCTATCAAAGTCAGCTGTCTGAAAACGTTAATTGGTCGGCTGATTAAAAGAGTTCAATTGGGAGAAGCCAGCGAACCGGCGATTACGTGTAAATATACTTGTTTATGGAAAGCTTTGACAGCTCGAAATGTCACAAACGCTCGTTTATACTGTTTGCCTTTCTATTTCGCCGTCATCCGCTTATGACCGCTATAATTTGTATCTGGAACATGCCCCCGAAATTTTAGTTTGCAGTGTTTTTCAAGGGTTTTGCAACCTAGTTATGACTCCGTAATACTATGGTTTATGAAACTATACTTATTTTCGTCAAATGTAAATAAATCCAGTATTAAACATTTCACTTTTTTAATTAGAATTTTTTTGTTTTTTTTTAATAAAGGCTTTGTTATAGTTAGTAGAAATATAATCCTCCTAGAGAAATATAATGTTTATGGAGTCCATAAAAGAGTGTCTACATCTCGACTTGACAAAGATAAACTCTTTTCTTGTCTTGCGTTTATTAAAATCTCAATTTCGCTGATATTGGCACAAACCCCACAATAAAATGACATATAAATTTAGCAGCTTGCATCCAAACTTGTACGATTTTGAGGTCTACGTGACGTATGGAGAATACACCCGTGGTGATTCACAGCGTTTCAATTTAGTGTGGGCATGCCCCAAACAGCTCCTCCGTCCAATCAACTGCACCTGCTCAATGCCAATGCCATTGCCATTGCGTCCTCAGTGTCGATTGGTGTACAGCGAATTCGAGTGGCAGATTAGATAGTTTTATTAATGAACACCCACATGAATCCGGCAGTACTAATTCACTGTCATGACATCTAACAACTGTTCACTATCCTCTTGTGTGGGATGCAAGCTATCTATGGGAAACCATATGGCAATGATGCTAGGATATGTTTATATGACATCGACACAAAGGTTAGAATATTCAGCAATATGAAGGTACACATTTAGGACTGGGTACGATTTTCATCATAATAAATACATTTCGAAAATATTCTTTATTCTTTATAGGACCGGAAATGATCCGAAAAATAAGATATGAAAAGGTTAACTCTAAAATTAAAGTTTAATATATATATTATCGCCAATTAAAAATAACAAATATAAAGGCTTGTAAAACCTAAAGAATTCTTAACGAGTATTTATCCTGAAGTCGAAAGTTGCTTCTGTAAACCGATAACCGTTTAGTCTTTCATAAGCAGACTACTTGACTTGAGGGAAATTAATATTAAATATTAAGACCAGCAAAACGCATTCCAAAGTTGAATTCAATTAAACAGATTTCAATCATCCGGACATGACGGAAATGTCAGAATCTTCGCCAGACCCGTTGGTCTCCGCGACAGAGTCCCCCACCCTACAGCCACCCTCGGCAGAGTCCGGTTTAGCGGCATTTCTAGTTCATGGCCTGCATTGCGTGAATATGATGAGTACGCTTAATTGGATTAGCTGCGATGTCTGCCGGGAAATGGAAATGGAAACGGAGACGGGCTAAAGAGCCAAAGTCACTGAGCGATTGCATAACAAGCCGGTTCGGCCAGTCGTTTGGAAAAGCGTGTGAAATGGAGTTGTAACCGGCATGGTATTCTATTTACTAAATAATTGGACACAAATGTCGCCGACGATGGGAGAGCATGTCCATCAAACTGCCAAGTGGCTTATGCAAATGTTCTTAAGGCAAAAAAAAAAGAAATTAGTGAAAAAAGAATCCAACTTGGAGATGCGGGGCATCGATCCCCGTACCTCTCACATGCTAAGCGAGCGCTCTACCATCTGAGCTACATCCCCTGATGAATGCTGAGTGTCGTATTCGCCAACTGAACGCTCTCGCCACTTTTCGTGGTGGTAGTTTTCAATGAGACCTTTATGTGTATAGGAAAAAGCTTTTAGCATGAGCTTTTCGGTTATAAATACAATCTAATAGTATTAGTGAATAAAAACTGAATAAAAAATATTTGTAAAACACTTTAATTGATTTAAAATATAGGTTTAAGACAACTATGCCATGAAAACAAAAAATAAATTTCGATCTGTTTCCGCCCGGGTTCGAACCGGGGACCTTGTGCGTGTGAAGCACACGTGATAACCACTACACTACGGAAACCCATGACGCAAGGACACCTAATACTCAAATACGCTGTTCAAAAATCGATGCTACAACAAGGAAACAGCCTTAGATAACTAAACAAATAATAAAATAAAGGAACACCCACAAATTGTGCTGTATGGAAAACTCGAAAGGGAAAGTACACTTCGACCCAGTTAAACTCCTTTCCCTCGTTTCTTTGCCAAGTTCAAAGCAACGATAATGATGCACGCCCTGTCAACGAAAGACATTAAACGCCCAGGGTGCAACATATTTAGGCCATAACAGCACTTTCTTTAATGGGACTCCGTCCTATTTCCAGACAACCAACCTTTCCTTTCGTCTTGGGTGGCTCTCGGCAAGGGCTGCAACCAATTGAAGTCGTAAAAATATCCGGGAATTGGAGTCATACCGGGAGGCTGACATTGCAGGCGAGTCGTAAAACAGTTGAAATTCGGTGCGTGCTGAGGGTCGGCGTGTTTATAAATACAACACACCTGAAATGATCGTAAAGACAGCCTCATTAAAATGATATAAAAATGAATGTGGCTGAGAGAAAATATATTGAATAAACTTCAATATCACTGTGGAAGCGGGGTGGTTGGGGGTCAGTTGACATTGAAAGCAAATTGCATGCAAAAAAAAACTAAGAAATAATTCGATTTGTTCCCGCCCGGGTTCGAACCGGGGACCTTGTGCGTGTGAAGCACACGTGATAACCGCTACACTACGGAAACAGCTGGAAGACCGGCGGCAGAAAAGCCAACTAGAGGTTAGCGTTCTGCTTTTAATAAAGTACACCTTAAAAAATAATAGCATACGTACAGAAATCATTTAATGGTTTTTACTCGAAAATGAATCTAATAGTGTGTATAGGACTTCTTTCATCATTGACAAGTACACTATAGATGCGACTTTAAAACATTCGATTTCATAAAAAACTGGCCTTTCAAAATAAGGCTGCTAGTGTATTCCTTTATTTTAACTTATTTATTTATTTATTCTCAGTCTAACAGGCTATTGAAAATTACCTATAACGTATTGTTCTTATTGCAGCTATAGCTACTGTGGCCTTAAGCTAATTTCCTTGTTTTTAATTCATCGACCATTTGAAAAGCAGCATCATGCAAAAAGTAAGATGTTCAGATATATTTCACATGGGCATCCCGTGGTTAGAAGAAAAGACAGGAAGTCCAGGTGAACAGGACATACAAACACTTCTCC